AAAACTCAGTAAATTAACATATAAAAATCATCAATTAATGTAACTTCACAATTCACTTTAGCTAATTTCCAGATTTAATTACATTATCATTAGTACTTTTCTTGGATGGCTCCATTGCGTGACACTTTTTGCAAGTCGAAACAAGCCACCGGAAAAACCTCCGGCCAAATAAGAATCTCCGCCGGGACACCACCGTTTTCACTTGCCTTTTTTTCTTCGCTTTAGCGGATTTCTCTTTCCTTTCAAGCTGATCCACTTTGATCACTTTCTTCCGAGAATTATCACGGCTTAACGAAGCTGGCACGGGCACGGCCGTTATGAATTGCCACCTCTGAGAATTCCCATAAACTTGATGACTTGAAATATTGTTATTAGGTTTGTTGCCTTTGTGTCTATCGGATGATAATTTGGAGTGATACAACTTTCTCTCAGAGTTATCACTTGAGCTTGTCCTAGCACTGCTGCTACAACTGCTACTCCTACTGTTGGTGCTATTGCTTCTCGACGACATGAGAGAGTCCTTGCTGCTAATGCTGCTTGTCCGGCTTGTTCTGCGAGAACTATTATCGACAACCATAAAGCCGTTGCTAATAGGTTGAAATGGGAAGGCATGTGGCAAGAGCCTCCCATTGAGGAACAAATGGTCTGCGGGGGAGTCTTTGCAGGGATCGGTGCTGGAGGCTGAGTCCGGGGTGATGCACCCAAACTCGAAGTCGGAGTCTTGGTCATGGACCGGAGTGCTAGGGAAGGAGAATGTGTCGCCGGAGGAGCTATTTTTTCTTCGATTTTCCATGGATGGTTGGTTTTTTTGAGGGGGAGGCTGGTGTATTTGCATGGGGTATAGGTATGTATATTTATAAGAGGGTTTTTAATGGAGGGGTAGGGAAACAAGTGAGGGAATTTGGGATTTCTTTTGATATGGGCGAGACACATGGAGTGATCTTAACCCTCTATTGGGTGAGATGGATAGACTTGTGGTGATGTGAATCATGAAATCCTACTTGCCAACTCAAAATGTTAAATTCAATACTAGGGTGGGGTTGCCATAACACTCACTCTCATAGTGTGGGATACTCCAAAGGAAATCATAAATGTTGTGAGGCTTAACACTTTTCAGTCAAACAAAACCCACATTGTAGAATGCCCCACATTTAGTCCAAGTGACCAAAACATTGGTAGTCTAACTATGATAAATTGCAATCCAAGCATAAATCAATTCATAAATGGCTATCATGTCCTTGTATATAAGCATGGTAACCTAAATTACTACATTGACATAATGTATCGAATACACATAAATGTTTTTGCACTTATATCTTCTTTTTAACAGTTGGACTGAATAAATCAAAAGAGAATCAAGAGATAAAAATGAAGAGAAGAGTGCAGAAAGAGAAAATAGGTTTACAAAAATCATTTTTCATATTATATTCATTGACTGGCAAGTGGAATTCATATGGTTTTCATTATCTATAATTTGTGATAAGCAAATGTGATACATGTAACATTATTATTTACATACAAATTAAGATTTAAACAAGTTAAAATGTAATGACAAATGGAAAGCTGAGAAGTAACTTGTTTATATATTTAATCAAGAGGTGTGTGGATTGAAATCCTTTGATGATCTTGTATTTTGTCATAGGATCATATAAAATCTTTGAAGTACCGAAATAAATACTCTCAAACCCTTGTTTGTTTATTCATAATCCAGTGGATCCCTTTAATCTTTTGTCCACTAGCTTTTGTTTTTGTTTTTGTAAAAATTTGGTGCAGCCCCCCAAAAATACTCCTTCCACATCTGAAAGCAGAAAGTGAGAGTTGTGATCAGGAGACATAATAACAAGCATATTGGGTTGTCTGAGCTGTTACAAAACCAAGCAATGATGGAATCAGCAACACAATGGCTTGAAGCTTCCTTTCTGTTGTGGAAGCAAAGTACCCTTCCTGTCACAAAGAGAGCGCAAGTTTTTATAATATTTCCTCAAAGACTTTGATTACTCGCAAAACATGGAGACAAGGGGTTCTTGGAAAATTCTGTGGTCTCCTATTAGGGTTTCCTGTGGAGACCCCATGGGTCCATTTCAACTGATCATGCTATTGGGGACCGCAGGTCAGCCAGATATAGTCAGTCCTCTTTCCACCCACCACACTCACACAACACACAAACACAAAACAATGTCGATTAAGTTATACACTTCCTTGGATGATACTCTAATTATTTTGTGTGGTAGGTCCATGGTCTTCCTTGCTGAGTAATTTTGCCTTTGTTGACACAAGGTTGATTGAGTTAGCCGAAGTAACGAGAAAGCGTGAAAAAATGAGTTAGGATTATAATAAATCGAAGGTTTAGTTTGTTTCAAAGTGATAAAATACTTGTTCTTGTGTATGTCTATACATGCAAGCATAGTTACACACAAACATAAACATGTATACAAGTATAGTTATGATAGGTAGAGGTAAGAGCGAAATCAAGAATTTTAAAAGAGGTTGGCTGATATACTTCTTCTATGGTATCAGAGTAAGTTGTTCGGTTTGTGAAGCTCAACGACCATGTGTGCTCCACGTTCCGATTTGTGTCATTCACGCACTAAGCTTAAAAGTTTCGCTACACGTGAGGGGACGTGTTAATAGTATCAATCCCACATCGGAGAAAGGAGGGACCCCGCATATACTTATAAGTAATTGAGTTGCTTTCCATACTGCCAATTGATTTTATGGTGGAACCTCAACTTCCTTCAAAGAGTAGGGATGAAAGAAACTACACATCTAAAATCAGTTGAGCTGGATTATAATCTAGTGGTATTTATTTAATAACCCATTACGTTGATTTGCCACCTCTATATACAAGTATATATATGTTTGTGTGAAAAAAAAAATGTTCTCTTAGTAGACAATTTACCGCGAAACAGGTAAAGGAGTGGAAACTAAAGCATATATATATATATATATATGTGTGTGTGTGTGTGCGTGTGTGTATATATGTGTGTGCGTGTGTGTGTGTGTGTATGCTTGATGACCTAGCTAATTGGAGCCATAGTATGGACTTTGGACGCGATGTTTTTAAGCAAAATTCAATGGCTTGGACTTTATTTGATGGATGTTTGCAGGGGTGCCTAGGGGAGGTTCTGTGTCAATACATTGGGCTATAGTGTGGCCCATGTACAATGCCAGGGCCTTGGGGATATGAATTGAATTCAAAGTCTAAAGGTTCAAAGGTTCAAAGGTTCAAAGGTTCATGGCTGACTCTCACTCCCAAGTCCCAACCATTCATATGCTTAATTTGGCGGTAGGTTCGAAAAACTGAAAAACTGAATAAAAAAACGAATGTTTTACTTATGTACGAGTGAGCGACTGTATTTACCAAAATCTATATAATTCAAGTTTCAAGTAACATAAATCTTAATATCTATAAGATTTTTAATCCACGTTAAAAATTTCGGAATATAGAATACTAAAAAAACGCCATAGAATTTTCGCAAGACTAAAAAACTGAGTTTGGACTGAATAAATCCTACTTGAAGTTCGGGATTTGATTGTGGATGAGAACCCTATCTAATTGGGCCTATTGAGACCTTGAACATGGCCCAAGGGGGACTTGGACTCAAGTCCAAGATGTTGAGCCCAAACTAGAATTCGGACCTCAAGCCTTGGGCCTCATTTTCATCCCTGAGATTAAAATAATATTTGGTATGCGTTTGTTCTTCATATGCGTGATTAAAGGAAGTCAATAGTGTACAATTAAATCCAATGCTGGCCTCTCAGTATTACGAAAGTAGGAGATCTTAGGTTCGAAATTCATGAATGGCGAATTCGATACCAAATTAGATTGTTCATTATGTGATTTAACCGAACTCCCTCTCCTCTTAATATAAAAATATTGATGTAATAATAAATAAATAAAATTCAATGCTGACTAACAATTATAAAACTCAAAACTCAATATTGACCCTATTAAAATATGTGAAATACCATTTAACCCTAACGTGCGCGTGTCATCCATGCACGCGACCCACTTACGCGTCCTTGTTGCTTGTTTCGCCTGCTCCCACCTACGTTCTTATTTCTATTTTTTTTATTATTTGTAAAAGAGAGGGGAAAGGATTCTACACCATTGCAATAATTTAAAAGAAGAAAGTTTTGAATGTGCGATATTTGGTTAAAAATCTTACACTCTATCTATTAAGACATTTAATGGCATGCAATAAAATTTTGATACAACCCCGGTAACCATTTGTTTAGACCGCTTTACAATGGTTGTCGTAATCTAAAATTTTCATTTTAGGTCATAATTCGTAGATTTAGTGAAAATTCACTGTTAGCTCTTTAGTCATATTATGAACTTTTCATTGTTTACGGACAACACTATGTTCTTTGATTTATAACGTCAGCATTAGAGGGCTAAATGTCATTCCGTTCAAATGACTTTTTGCTACATCAATCTTTCATGATAACTTAAAAAGTGATCGACTCAAATTATGAAGGATATTGTGGAAGTGAACTTAGATAAAAAGGTTAATTGTATTAAGTTACTAGTTAATGCCTAAGCGCTCCTGATGTTACCCTTATTACATATTTTTTTTTTTTGACACATTATACTACGCAATTGCATGCAATGTATCCAATTGACATACACCTTGAGATAAACTTAGCATTAAATAAGATTAAAATCTTCTTTTTTTTTTTTTTTTTTTTTTTTTGAAATACAAAAATATATTCGGTTAGAGAATAAATTGGTATTGAATTTCATCTACGAGATTTAAATTTAAATCTCTCACTTATAAGTAAAGAGAAATACTATTACACTGTAAGATTAAGTGACATGCAGATTTTAATAAATTGAATCACTAATTGATCTGACGATGGTTAATTTTTTTTTAACGTACTGAGTTTCAAGTTCAAACGCTCTTTCTTTCCGTTTTGTTTGGACTTTGGAGTAGAAATATCCTTGTTTTAAAAGTTAAAAAGAATTACAATTACAAAAAAGACAAGTCGCGGCGCGAACGCGTCTTTGATTAATGCAAGGAACGCGGCATAGAATTGGAAGAGAAAGGCTGGAAAACAGAGACCAGAGGGCGTGTCAACGCATCCTTCATCCTCATCCTCAACTCTTCTCACTTCCCTCTCTCTGTCTCTCTCCCCGCTCTCTCTCTCATCGTCTCGGTGACTCTGGGTTTTGTCTCTCTTCCTCTTTTTCTTGGCCACTGTGTTTCCAATTCCAAATTTTCATTTTTCAAATTTTATTTTTTTAAACAGATAAACTTCACATCAGGACAGCCATGACCGGCAGAGAAATCCTTCTTAAGATGAAGGTATGTTTTTGCTACATATAACAGTATCTCTACTCCTCCATGTATCTGCTTTAATGTGTTTCAATCCGTTTTTCAATTGCCTCACTCCTCTGTTCATCAGTTGACTTTTCTGGCTTGTTCTTAATATCTTCCTGATCTGCAAATTTAATTTCCATCCACACCATATGGAGAAATTGTTGCAGATCCTTGTATTATGTGTGTTATTAACAAAAACCCATGTCTCTAAATTGTAATTGTTTGTGTTATTTATTCAGAATTGCAATTTTAGATCTGTAACTCTACTGTTCCTCCTTGATATCCCTCAGGGTTTATGGATGGTGGCAGAGGAAAACCCTTTTCTTTTTTTTCTTTTTTATTAAACCATTCTTCCTTTTTTCCTTTTACTACTTGGGGTTTATGGGTGGGAAGATTAAAATGCAGCAGAAGCTTTTAGTGAAATAAAAAATCGATGAAGAAATAGGAGAATTTTCTCTCCCTGTTGGAATAGTTAAAGCTAATTTAGATAATCTTTTGATGCTTTATGGGTAAGATGATTATTTAAGGAGATTTCTTTTCAGCATAGTGTTGCTGGTTGCATGTTAGAAATGAATTCCCTGATATCGTTTGTTTAATTTTCCGGTGGAAAATCTAAATGGGAGTTTTCTTGTTTTGTTGCAGGAGAAAGTTTTAGGTTCATCAGACCCTGACTCTGGAAAGGGAAAGAGCAAGATGTCGCATCATATAACACATGGATTCCATTTGGTAAAGGGAAAAGCGCATCATCCTATGGAAGACTATGTTGTTGCGCAATTTAAGAACATCGATGACCACGAGCTTGGACTATTTGCAATATTTGATGGCCATTTGAGCCATGAAATTCCTGAGTACTTGCAATCTAATCTCTTTAAGAATATTTTGAAAGAGGTAATGTATTACGTACTTGTTTGGTATTATGTTAGGTTTTTTATGTGCGTTGATTTTGTTGTTGTTGTTTGATAGAAGCTCTTGCACTTAAACGTTGTTACATATCAAATTTCAACGTCCTTATACTTTTGGTCCTTGTTTTCTCCTCTCCTCAGCCTGATTTCTGGACAGAACCCAAGAAGGCAGTCGAAAGAGCCTATCGTGTAACAGATGCTAACATTCTGGAGAAGGCAGTTGATTTGGGCAAGGGAGGTTCAACAGCAGTTACGGCCATTTTAATTGACTGCCAGAAGCTGGTGGTAGCCAATGTTGGGGATTCTCGAGCTATTGTCTGCAAGAACGGTGTAGCTAAACAATTATCCGTTGATCACGAGCCTAGCACAGAAAGAGAAGATATCGAGAACAGAGGTGGTTTCGTATCTAACTTTCCAGGTGAGAAGTTTCTGATAATACAAACTAATGTGTTTAGAAACGACACGAAAAATATATTCTGTTTTTGAGTACCATTTAAATTGTTTGAGTTTGACGGGATTTGTTGTTCACTCATTCAGTTTACTAGCTTTGCTTTGTGATTTATGAGCAGCGATTGATCGTAAAGCCTTATCAATTTATAGTTCTCCAGTTCTCGTCATTCTCATCGCATCAGTCTTTTATTATCGTAGCATTAAATTTATGATTCTGATGAATTCAGGGGACGTCCCACGGGTTGATGGGCAGTTGGCGGTAGCAAGAGCATTTGGTGACAAGAGCTTGAAGAAACATCTCAGTTCTGAACCTTATGTGATGGTGGATTTAATAGACGATACCACAGAGTTCGTTGTCTTGGCAAGCGACGGACTATGGAAGGTTGGCTTATGTTGAAATTATGCAACTATATCTACTTACTGCCATTGTAATTAAATGGCAAAGAATTGGACTTGAAATTTGTTTATGCAATTTGATGTCAGGTGATGACGAACCAAGAAGTTGTGGATTCTATCATACAAATAAAGGATGCGCGGGCAGCAGCAAAGCACCTTACTGAAGAGGCCGTCAAGAGGAGGAGCTCCGATGATATTTCCTGTATAGTCGTAAGATTTCGGTGAATGCATATTTCTCGTTGTCATGTAATTTACCTTTTTCTCTTAAAAGATTTATTAGGTATGTTGTATTGATAAACACCTACGGCATTCAAGTGTGCTTCAATTTCTTGTACCCCTTCCATGTTGATACTCTTTGAACATTGTTGTCGTTGAGGATTTCATATAATGCTAGAACAAGGGTCTTGGCAAACGTGGTCGACACTTTCTGAATTTGACTGTATGCAGACAGAATCTTTTACAAATCTTCAATCAATATACAACTTTTTCACTTATGGGGCAATGAACAGGAAATAAAACATGTTTTTAGTGTCCCTTAATTAGTGCCTTTCATTGTCTCTACTTTTTTTATTTGTTTTACAGCGAGATATTTACAAGAAAGGTTGGAGGTCACATAATAGACAGTCAAAATAAATTAGTATCGAACTTGTTACACTTGGAAATTGAATCAAAGATCTCTAATTTATAAGTGGACGTGCTTATCAATAGACGGTTTGCATTCTATTATGTTTTATCTACTATTAGATTGAATTACTAGAGGTGAATCAATGGACGAAATTAAAGAGCGGTGTGCATAAGGTGAAAAGAAGAGTGCGATAGTTACACTCTGCTTTGTTAAAGGGTAGTGCTATCTACATTCATATTTTTACCTCTTACACAACCTTTCTCAATCTCCGGTCGTTGGATATAATGAATTAAAGAAGATCAATTGACAAAAATTATCAAGGGGGTGTGGGAGATAAAAATAGGTGTGAAAAACACTACCCTTGTGAAAATGTCATATTTTGGCAGCTTTTCCTACTTTCAATTTGAAGATTGAAGACTTATCACTCCGTCGAAGTTTTCAAAAATATCATGAAGAAAATATTTGACTTGGTGACAAAGATAATATGGATGGCTATCACAAACAAAAGAAAAGCTAAAGGCTTATATTTGCAGACAAAAAGACAGCTAAGGAAGATGACCCTTAACAAGATGGGAAAATATATGAACGTCAGTAAGCTAGGTTGCCGATTGGTTTGGAAAATATCTGAGATAAGGCGTCATAATTAGTCCTAGTAATATATGACCAGCAAAAGCATATTGCAGTTGGTCGTATTATCCATAATATGCAGTCGTTTTCAGCATCTTATTGTCAAAACCTTCATTCATGGTGAAAGCCATGTTGTACATTTTAATTCATTATTTTTTTGTTCAATCATGTTCAACAGAAAACTAGGGGTGAATAATTGCCTTAATTGGTCTAACTTTTGATTTGTCAACTTGTTGGACACTGTTTACATGCCTAAAAATCGTTTTTGGAGGCGTTTGACAAAAATAATTAGATGCATTAATAACATTTTTGAGGCGCTACTCGAAAAATTATTTTTTCAAAAATACTTTTTCATAAAGCACTTGGCCATTCAGTGAAGGTTTTGTTGTGCTTATAATAAAGTGGTTCCAGGATATGCACTTATGAGCACATGCGCTTAATTATGTATTGTGACTTTGTAGGCATAAGTGCTTCCTATAAAAACATTCCATCACACATAGTCTAGTACCTGTTTGATATTCATCGAACAAATTATACTTGTCCTATTCAATTTTTTTGAGGTGGTTGTCAATAGTGCTTCTCAAGTGCTTTTCCAAAAAACACTTGATCTTTCAGTAGAGATTTTGGTTGTGCTTATAATAAGTAGTTATGAGCACATGCGTTTTTGTATTGTCAATATCATAGGTGCTTCCTACATAAACATTCCCAATTGTCTTATTGAAACATCCAGAATAGTGTTAAGCATTAGTTTAACACAAGTCGAAACTACATAACCATACACCACATTAGCTTTAGAAGCTTACATATGTAATGGCAAAGCGCACCAACATAAGGTTGTAGGTAGCTAGGTAGACAAATAAATAGCTTAACTAGAACAATCATACTTAGAGGTTCTATAAAGCCATGGATGACAGAAGAGAGGGAGCATGTAGAGAGCAGATCACAAGATGCATGGCCTTATCGATGCATGGCCTTATCTGATCTGGCAACGCTTGGAGGAAGAGTTTCCTGGGGGCGTGATCTGATATCTAGTCTGACTTTCGTTGTATTGGTGACCAACCCCTCTCCGGCTCGAGCTTTCTCCATAAGGTTCGCCTGAGCTCTTGCGGCGTCGCTCATTGTGTCCTGCCAGACGCCGGCGACAGCTTCTCTTTGCTTCATCAAATTCGATTAGCTCATGGAACCTGTGCAGTGCAGCCCCATAATAATGAAAAGTTCTAAAACATGGTGGTATGTAAGAGTACTACTTTATGGAGGATTATATTAAGTATTGGTTTGGTATTGAGGTGTTTTTATAAAAAGTGGGTATCAAAAAAAGCTGAGCTAAAAAATGTGTTTGGTAAATACTTGAAAACAGATTATTTTCACAGTTTTGGATGAAAAAAATCTGAAAACGTGAAGCAGCAAAAATGAGTTTATTCTCACAGCACAACATAAACAGTTTTTTTTTTTTTCAAAGCACAGCAATACCAAACCAACCGAGAAATGAAAAGTTCTAAAACATGGTGGTATGTAAGAGTACTACTTTATGGAGGATTATATTAAGTATTGGTTTGGTATTGAGGTGTTTTTATAAAAAGTGGGTATCAAAAAAAGCTGAGCTAAAAAATGTGTTTGGTAAATACTTGAAAACAGATTATTTTCACAGTTTTGGATGAAAAAAATCTGAAAACGTGAAGCAGCAAAAATGAGTTTATTCTCACAGCACAACATAAACAGTTTTTTTTTTTTTCAAAGCACAGCAATACCAAACCAACCGAGAAATGATTTTAGCACACCGACTTTTTTTCTTTGGCACATTGCCTCTTGATTCTCCTTTAATTTATTCAATCTAAAGGTTAGAATGCAAGAAGAGAAAAGAGGTATCTAGAAATCACTTACGTAGATTAATTAAGGGTCTCCAAAAATTCTGCAATTGAAGTTCAGAGGTAATAGCATTGGCCCTAGCAAGTTCAGCTAGTGTGGGTTGATTAACTAATGGACAAGCAAAGGAATGAAAATGTTCAGTGACTGGCTCACACGTTATGCTAATTAAGCAGATATTCATTAATATTCTGCACCTTAATAATTTACCTCATCTCCAAATTTAAGAAATTAAGAAAAGCTTGTACCAGTTATATACCTAGCATGATTCGGCATGAACCGTTGCTGCATTTGACTAAATTAATTAACGTGTTGACACACTTAACAATACCAGTCAAGTAAAAGTTATTTAATATTCCAGCTTACATGGTTAAGTCGATGATCTATTTGACTCCATGGAAAGATGCTTTCAGGAATAAACAAAAATCAAGGAATAATCTGCTTCAAAAATTTGTTACATAGCTGTAAACCCCATGTTTCTAAGGGTCCTCATGATCTGAAGTGGAATATGAATCCTTAATTATATGTGTTAGTGTTAAAGGAATATATTTTTTCGAGTTTAATTCCCCAGAGTTAGTCAAAACCCTAATTATATGGATGGAGTTTTTGCTTTCTGAGGGTATAAAACCGAAATTTTATTCCATAAAAATTAAGCAGAGATCACCATTCAGCTAACAAGTCCTAAATCATATAGAAGCAGAAAAATGCAAGGAAGCAAGTGAAAGAAAGGAAAAAGAACAGGAAAAATGGGATGCAATTAGACCTGCTGCATTGCTGACAAAACCGCTGTCGAGTCCCGGAAACAATCACAACAGCTGCCTTCGAATGAAACTCACAAACCTTATGCCGGCGGTGGTACCTCTTTGCATCAACCAAATCAGCCCCGCACCTTTCCGCTTGACAAGATGGCTGTGAAACCCCACCTCCACCTCCACCACCAGATCCTCTTCTTCCAGCTGCAGCAGCTTTCTTCTGCCTCTCATTTTCTTCAAATCTCAGCATCAACCCTCCACCACCGCCACTGGTGTCTTCTTCGTCCGAGTAGTCATCCTCTACTTCCTCAACATCTTTCTTCGATTTCTCTTTCCATGTTTGCCTTCCTTCAAAGTTTTTGCCCTCCATTGTTAAGGAAGTCTACGTATCAGAATTTACAATGAGGTTTTGGTGGAAATGGAGAATGGTTGAGCATTATTAAGAAGGGGGGAAACTGGGTGGAGTTATCAAGGTGGATAAAGTGTAAGGAATTAATAGGTGAAAAAGTGGAAGAGGACCACAAACACAAGCTCCATTCTTTTGTGTCTGCACGTGTCGATACCGTATAAGGTGGCAGAATTTTGAATGAACCAGTGAATATATAACAAAAGAGCACTTAAAAATTAGGATTTGAAAGCTTCTGAGCTTAATTTGTATCAGTGTGTGAAATATAAGAACGGTTAATGTTGATCAGAACGAGAGACTTTCTCTTGCAACCTATTCATAGTCTTAGTGGTCTCCTTCGGCAAATCAATGTTTGTCATGTATCCTAAAAATGACCATCCGTTCAAAAAGAGCTTACTACATGGTGAATTGGTGATAAAAGAGTATGATCGATCATAATGTATATAATTGAGTTTTGCTTTCTGAGATGATTTATTAACAATAACATGCAGAGATGAGTGAAAGAGCATAAGAGCCTGTAGGGGTCGTTGCATTGCTGAAGTTAAGTGTCATTGATTGAGAGGGGACAGTTCATTTACAAGTGAGTACGTAAGAAGAAGGGCAGTAGCTCATGCTTTAATTAAATTCACGTAGTACGGTACGCAGGATGAGTAAATTTGCATGCAGTAAGAGAACTTTGAATTACAGTGATCTTTAATCTAAAGTGAATGCTTTGTCTGCCACTCTCTACTTTACCCTATGCTTTATTGGATGCAGAATTTACAGTATATATATATATATATACAGCTTCCAGGGTAAAGTCGATTTCATTTTTATCCACTGTTTTCTCAAGAGATAATTATATGTATTATGTCCCTAGATTATAATGTGAATACATACGTATAGTTACTTCAAAACATGGTTTAGAAGGTTAAAATCAAATTCAAATGGAGAAGGAGATGATTCAGTGATACCGAAGGGGTGTAGTCTAAGACTTATTTGGAGTTGAATGGTTGCCAAACTATTTCATAAAGGGATACCAAAACCTTTATAAATAAATGACGAATTTTAATTAGAATCACCATTGACTTCATTCACTCATATTTCTAAGCATCCTATACAAATGATGTAGAGAAAGCTTTTCCAATTCTCTCCACCATTTTATTGAAAATCAAAGCACCAAATATAAGAGTTTATGTAGATTTTATTCTTGAATATTTGAGTGTTCGTATCGAGTATTTGGTATTTGTTTCAAGAATGCAAAACTTTGACAAACAATAGTTGCAAGGTTAGACTTCATTGTATCCACCAGTCTAATTTGCATCCCTTTTGCACACAAGTTGTGTAGGCAATTAAGTTTGAAAAATAACGTAATTAATAATGTATGTGCTCTGAAAAAATCTCATCCCTCATCATAACCATAACCACGTTATAGAAAATTTTCCAACATACACTAATGGTTGGGGCCGCTTGTTATTAGGTTTAATGATCTTATTCATCTAGTTTAGATTTTCCTTTGAGAATCATCTATGCAAAACTTTAGCAAAATAGGACGTATAAGTGTGACCATTCGCTTTTCATTGTCAAAATTTCTGCGTTTTATCGAGAATGTTGCATTAGTTATATTTTTTTGTTATAGTTCGGTGACTTAATAGTTCCCCATTTTGTTGATGTTTTGTATTAGTATATAGCTCATGGCATTATGTGGATGGTACAAGCTCACGGGACCTTGGATGTGTTATGGAGGAACACAGGTACATACATATGCAGATATTAGCAAGAAAAATCGACATGACCCCTGCATTCACATGGTCATAGTACGAAAGTACCCAATGGTTGATGCAAGCGTTCAATAAGTCATGGGATCCGTACCTTTGTGGACCTAAACATTCATTCTAGCTAGTTTGATCTTTCAAAACACATGCAAAAGTGAAGAAAGCAGGCGAATAACAATTCTACTTCCAACTGGTATGCAATAATGCTTTGGGTTCCTTTGCAATGTGTCCATGCCATCATATATGTCGTTATAGGAAGATGTTATTTCCAATATAAAAACCTCATTTTGCACTCTTTTTAATCATGAGTAAGTCAATGAATGCTCTTGAAGTGTAAATAGCAGTTTCTTAATCATATTACTGATCGATAATATATCCCGGTAGGTTTAGTGGATCCACCTTGAAGTTTAGGTTCTTTGTGTGAGAGATATGATCAACAATGTCATTAGTGATACATATGTAGCATTGCCAATCTATTCTGCAGATTTCAAATTAGGGATGTAATACTTCCCTCAGTTAATAAGGAGGAAAGTCCTCCCTCTAACGTGACATCATTTGATTGTACAAACATTATAATTGAAACCGGCAATTCTCTTTACCATCATCTATAAATCATCTCTAAAATAAATCATTTTCAATTTAAAGACCATTTAATTACTTAACATGATCTATGACTTAAGGTGACTGTGGTCCATTTATAGTCGCTTGCCATACATGATTAAAGCATTATGCCACGTACACTGGTCCAAGCTAGCTTCATCAAACATTCACCTCTCTGACTTCCGCGTCGCCTCTCCCGTTCTCTAGCCAGTAAGAATCCATGTGTCACACCAAGTAATTTTCGCCACAATATTGTGCCAATCACTCCCAACTTTGAGTTGGGTCTTGGTCCCGGTGTTCTTTAGTTCCTGGATTCTCTCTTTATCATGAACATGAAAGCATAAGGCCTTTATCAGATCATTCTTCATTGAGGAGTTAAACTAACAAATTCAAAATAAGACTAAAAGATCTATTGCTAGCATACAAGACAAGAGTACCGCGTGACTCAGCTATGCGATGAAAGAGATATACACAAAGTTATATAAAATCGGTAATTTGACATACTTTCTTTTTATATTAAACCCGAGGAATGAGATTCAGATTTCGATCTTGAACCCTAAACGTTACTTCTAACCCAACCAAGCCTCATTTCTAACTCCCCAATAAATATATCACCGCAAAATTAAGTGTTTGCTTTACGCATCTTACTCATCTAGTGGACTAAACGTACTGGCTCTCAGTTTAAAAACATTACTAGTTTGGACACAAACACGATACCGTTCTCAGAGGAAACCTATGGAATATGAGGATAGATTTCAAGTTTGAATCCCTCTCTCCCTCCAATTGGCAAAAAACTTACAGTAACTAACATGAAGAAAACATAAAATTTGAGTTTGCGAAAAGTTTGAATGTTATCGTGCTGGAAAGGAGCCTTTCCAACCTGTGAAGAAAATGAAGGTTGATGAAAAGGGAGGTCAACCAATCTTGATTCGGCTGGTCCCAAGGTTTTGGCTTGACATGTAAATCATATCGTGTTCATATGTGCATATATAATTCTTCAGAGCATGATAAATTTGGTGATGCATATTCAGTCCCTTTCCCGCACGCACTAAAATTGAAGGATTGGATCTTTCACCCAAAATGCTTTTCTATCTCCTCTTTTTCATCATCTTTCCTCGATCCTTAATGGCCAAGAAATAGACTAAGCATCGGATTCCCACACCTCTCACATCTCAACCATAGAATGCAAGTGAGATGGATGAAGTGGAAGAGTGTATTGGGTGTGTTGTGCGTATGTCATGTGTCATTGAAGCTCAAGGAAAATTTAATAGGATGGCAATAAGGCCAGCAATGCTTTATGCCATGGAATATTGGGAGGTCAAGCATAAACATGTGCAAAAAATGATTTTAGCGGAGATGAGAATGCTTCGTTGGATGTGTAGGCACACGAAAAAGGATATGATTAAGAAAGAGGATATCCGAGGTAAAGTAGGTGTGAAACCCCGTCCCAAATAATGTATATGTGCATTTTAACGGAATTATGAAATGACTATTTTACCCCTTTATCCCCTCACTCTACCCGGATCTCCCTCCTCCCAAAATTGAGAAATGGCGATGACGACACCACCATGCCCCCCCCCGCGCGTGTCGAGTCTCTCTCTCTCTCTTTCTCTCTCTCTCTCTCTCTCCCTCCTTCTTCCTCTATGAAGCCTAGGAAACCCTGAAAACTCCTTCGGCGAGCCCTATGGCTTTCGAGCCAAACTTCAGCCAACTCCAGTCATCACACGACATTATATAGGTATGAATATCTTCCTCTCCTCCTAAGCTTCATTTTGATAGCTAGATCACACCCTAGGTTTGAGAATAGGTGTTGAACGGAGCTCAGGAATCTCCGACCTTCCCTTCCGTCGAAACCGGGTTGAAACGACCCAAACCCAAAAACCCAGGCCCTTTGGCCCAAACCTTTAGGCCGTGCTTTCAAGCCTAAACCCATGTTGAAACCCAACCCAATAACCCTTAAGCCCAAACCCATTTGGGCGACCCACTGAACCCAGACCAGGCATTTGGGCCATGGAACCCGGCCCAATTGGCCAAGCCCAGACCCATTGAACCTAGGCCCTTAAGCCTTACAAACTAGGGCTTTCGGCCTGTTGAACCCAAGCCCAAACTCAATAAGGCCAAGCCTAGGAACCAAGCCTAGGCCCAGACCCAGATCCGGCCCCTCTCAGTCGGATCCCAGGAACCCAGGCTGATTGTGGGCCTGCGTGTGGGTGCGTGTGAAGGGCTGCTAGTGCCGGCTCATGGAGCACATGCGCTGGTGTCTACGGCAGCGTATACGAATTTTCCAGCTACCCATCTCGGTGTGTGCGGCAGCACGTGGGGGTACCCAAGGTTCCCTCTTATGTTTTTCGACGTCCTGAATCCATTTATGACATATGTTTTCCGAAATTCAATCATTATGGTAGAGTTTTGTTAATTGGAATTTTTATGTGCTTTGATGCGATTATTAGAGGCGATTTTGTTCTTCCTATTTCGCACGGCTCTTCGACGACAAAGTATCTATGAGTGGACTCCTTCTAAAATGCATGATTTTACTATTAGAAATGCATACATGAAAAACATGATTTAATGGTTACGTTTTATGAAACGGTAATGAGAAAATTAGATTTACACTTTATGAAATGTCATGCTTTACTGAGAATATTTTGGAATACCATACTTTATCGATTTTTACGTCCTTTGTAGTATATATGATGGATGACTATATATTATGAAGATGTTTTAAGATATGATGTTTGAGCTACTGAGCTCCGTTGAGA